CCAAGAAGGGACAAGCGTAGCTTGTCATACACGCCAGGGGGGAGGCGTGTAGTGGTTTCAGTGGGAATGCAAGCAATCCGTATGAGGCGCTTCATTACCTCCTAAACATGTTGGCCGCCAACTGTAAAAGCAACAAGATATCACCAAATATGAGGGCTGGGGTGGGGGTGCAGATGTCGAACACTGTGTACTTGAGACTTTAGCTATTTGCATCAGTAAAATGCATCCAAATGAAGGGTTTAAAGCTACAATTTCGCAAATTAGACATAAATTAAAAGCGGATATTTCCACTTTTGGTACGGACAGGGAACGAGGAACACCCCGTCTAAGTATTAAAGGTGGTCCTGTGCATAATTTCAGAAAGGACAAATATTCACAAGTATAAGATGTGATCGCTGGGACAAGAAGTTTATTTGCCTGGCGTTTCGAAATCTGTCGAGAACTCCTCATCAGAGGTAATCGTAGAATGGGGTGATACCCATATCTGTGCGGGGTAAATATTCCCGTGTTCTAGCCCATAAACCTAAACCGTAGCCCTAAAGTTGACATTAAGCTCAACCTTAAACCCATTTTTCCCTGGAATTTGACACAGACACCTGCATTATGAGCATGGCCTGTTATCTCCTCCTGTTCAGGGGGACCATAGTATCACCTAATCACTTTTCCACTCAAAAAGCATAGTAGTTAGTATGTGCGCCGGTCTACACTGTAGGCGTAAATGTTTCGTGTGGTTGAATGATGAATCCATACTCGCTCAGTTAAGGACAGAGAGTTTTGGCCTTGAACTTCTTTCTGCCATATTAGCTGTACATGAAGTTTCGATTTTACTCAGCTAGCAACTTAGGAGTAAGGGTTAAATGCCATACTCGCGCACCCAAGAGATAAGGACGGTATTTGCCGGGCCCTGGATGTGTTTCAGAAAGGCTGTCTAATGCGGAGATATGAGGGTCTCAACTTCCATCTTTCGTCCTGCATCGCAACTGCATTTACTGAGACCCCG